TAAAGTTCGGTTGTAAAAGAATTAAGATTCAAGTTAATTTAATAGCTTGATATCCAATTTTCACCGCAACAATATATATATATATATATATATATATATATATATATATATATATATATATATATATATATATATATATATATATATATATATATATATATATATATATATATATATATATATATATATATATATATATATATATATATATATATATATATATATATATATATATATATATATATATATATATATATATATATATATATATATATATATATATATATATATATATATATATATATATATATATATATATATATATATATATATGCTTCTCCTCATTTTGTTTCATCTATCCCTCAACTTGCTTATCTTTCTATCTATTTTTCTTTTCCACAAAATGTCTATCAAAACATTCTTTGGCAATGAGGAAGTCATGGAAGTAATTTATGAGAAGAGACCAAACCTTCCTAGACTGAGAGACTCAGGGGTGCTCCAATCTACTAGCATGCAGATTCGAGGGTGGTCTGGTTACTATGCAATTTTGCATGGACCTATTTATCATGTCCTTGTTAAGGAATTTTGGACTTATGCTAGAATAGGTGATGGCAACAACACCATCTAGTTTTCTATCTTTGGTGTTCCATTCTTCATAACACCAACCTCCATCGCTAAGGCCATCAATTGTGTTCAATATGGAGTTGCAATTGAAGATTTTCATCTGAACTACTCCTTCATTGAAGATCTCATCAGCATTCATGATGGCTCTCTTAACAGATTCGAACCCTACAATCCTAAAGGGCTTCTTCCAACCGACAAAATTTGGTTTCAACTTCTGCTAACCAACATCCGACCCCAAGGAGTGGCCACAAATGCTTTGTCTCATGATGATAGACTTTTTATCTACTTCATGATGTACAATTTCAGGGTTAACCTACCTCAAGCTATCTTCAATCATCTGAAGTACTATGTTGAAATCTCTAGATATCATCATAAGTCCTTCATTCCCTAGGTAGAATTTTGTTTGAGTTATTCTTCAGAGCTGAAATCATTAGTTTAGCTAGAACACTTTGACCAGAAAATGCTATGGTTGAAGAAAGATGTGAAAAGGGTTGATGAGGTTGAAGATTTTTGATGGATGGTGGTCGTGGGTTCCTGCTGATCTCTTTGTTCTTAATCCTGTCCTTTAATTAAATGTGTGTCGGTCTGTTTTCTTGTTGTTTGGTTTTGTATACCTGTACCTACGCCTCAGGCATTTTTTTATTTATCAATGAGAAATGTTTGCTTCTGTTCTATTTTATTGAATTCTTTTTTCTTGCTAACATAAAGGGAAAGAAGTATTAACTTTAATATTCTCTTGAATCAACTCCATTACTCATGTTGTTTGATTTATCTATTACCTTTTTGATTATGACAAACAGGGGGAGTACTTGAAATGGAAAATTATTTGGATTAAAAAATATCTTGTCTCTGAAATCATAGCTCAAACATTCTAACTCTTAAAATGCATTCAATTGATATGTTGATAATCAGACTCTGATTTAACCAATCATATACTCTATCTGATGCATTTGATAAGAATCAGACTTGAACTATTTCAAACTTTATAAGTTCAATCAGGCTCTGATATATAATCAAGCAATGTTACTGTATATCTGATGTGAACTTTACAATCAGGCTTCGGCATCCCAAATATGATAAGATTTTTTTAAGATCTTAAATTCAGGGGGAGCTTTGATTAAGGGAAATTATTTCTAAACTTATGTCTATCATTTCCTATTGATTATCATTGTACAAAATTGTGTCATCAAAATACATGGATTTGTCATTATCAAAAAGGGGGATATTGTTAGAACAAGATTTGGTTCTGCAAGATATCTCTAAGTTTTGATAATAACAAAGTGGTATTTGTGTGAGAATAATTTTGGTACTCTAACGTTTGTTTTTTTAAATAAACAAACAAGTTCTGACTCTAATAGAGATCATATTCAATGATTACTCTGATCTGACCAAAGTCACTTCCACGCTATAAGAAGCAAGTTTTCTTCTGATCTACTCTATTTCAGAAAGATTCTAAGAAGACAATATGTTGTTGCTGCAATGTTCTCTTGGTTTCTATTTTTGATCATGACTCTAATACTTTACTTCTGAAGGCTTTCAAGCTTCTCAAGTCATAATCTTCTGAAGACTAAGTGCTAAAGACTCTGAAGACAAGGTTCTGTTGAATGAAGTTTGAAGACTCTGAAGACTTGAGTTTCTGAAGAATAAGTGTTGAAGACTCTAAAGACAAGGTTCTAGTGAACGACGTTTTGAAGACTCTGAAGACTTAAGTTACTAATGACCAAAGGTTCTGACGACTGAGTACTTATCGTTCTGAAGACAAGGTTCTAGTGAACAAGTTCTGAAGACTCTAAAGACCCAAGACTCCGAAGACCTATTGATTAACTCTTCTACTCATGCTTAAATCATCTCTATTCAAAAGCCTTTGATGTAAAAAAGAGAAGCTCAAACATCTACGAGGAAAAATAGTAAATAGTACGTTTTTAACGTCTCATTCCACTACTATGCCACTACCCTGATTTGGTGGTACAAAGGACAACTTTTGTGTATGATTTTCATCCCTGCGTAACGACATTATTTCAAGTCTCCAGCTACCTAAAGGATATTCCTGATTTACCCTCCAACAAATCTTTTTCTAGTTATATAAGGACTTGATTACTTGAAGAAATAAAAAAAGCTTTACAACGATTAATACAAAGGTCACCCTTTGATTGAAAGAAACCTATGAAGAACTAAAGCTACAGTATTAAACCAACATAATACAATGAAAGAATATTGTTCATATTGTATTAGTGTCTTTAAGACATTTGAGCTTCTAATAGTGTTTATATCTGCTTGTTTAGAAGCAATTTCATTGTAAACATTTTTGTTCAAACTGTTGTTTGTAACTCCTTAAGAGATCGGTTAGGTATGTATCCTTAAGAAGAGACGGCTAGTCTTTACTGTTAGTCACCAGCGGTTGCTTGTGCATTTTGTATTTCCTTAAGGGACCAGTTGGGTCTGAATCCTTAAGAAGACACGGTTGTCTGAGTTGTTAGTCACCAGCGGTTGCTAGTGCATTGTAATATGTTGATTATAATGGATTACGTCCTTGTGTTAAGGCAAAATCACCTTGGCGATTAGACTGTATTAACTTGATAGTTTTCAAGTGAACCAGGATATATCGTGTGTCTTTCTTTCTTGATTAGTCTATTTGTTGTCTTTGTTTGAGTTTCGCAAAAAGCTTTCATTTTTGAAAACCCAATTCAAACCCCCCCATTTCTTATGTTTTCTCACACCTTCAGTCTCCACCATGACATTGTTTTTTCCTTTTGATTCAACCACACTTTCATTTCCCAGTCAAACTTGACTTTGACAGACTCGTCAATGCTTTTGAAAATAGTCTCATCCTTGGCCATGTGATTGCTACATCCACTATCCAAGTGCCAACTTTCACCTTTTTCTTTGATTGAGTCTTGAGTGGCATAGAACATACATTATTCTTAATCATGCTCCTCTGCAATATTAGCTTGATTTTTATTTTTGTTGCGACAATTTTTCTCTACGTACCCAAACTTCTTGCAATGGTTGCATTGTGGTATATTACAGTACCAACAATTTTTCTCTGCGTGGCCTACTCTTTTGCATATATTTCATGGAGGATTTTTATCTAGCTTGTTCTTAAGGAAATTTCTAGAGAAGTTTCTCCATAATTTTCTTTCCTCCATTTTCTTTATTTTGGGGCTGAAATATTAACTTTGACTAGAAGAAATTTTCTAGTGTATCTTCTTTGTACCTATACAGTCTTTGCTCATATGCTTCAACAGAGCCCACAAGTCCTGTCACTAATAGAGTGGGCAGTTCTTTGGTTTCTTCAATCATTGTCACGATTGAGTCAAATTTTGGGGGCGTAGTAATTAGAACTTTTTCAACGATTTTCTTTTCAAGAATTTCTTCCCCAAAAACTATTTTTTTAACTTTAGAATAGTAATCTTTAACTGTCTCAGACTCCTTCATCTTCAATAGTTCGAAATCTCTTATAAGAGATTGAAGTTTAACGACACGTACTTTATCACTTCCTTAAACTCCTCCTACAACGTATTTCACGCTTCTTTGACAGTCTTAACTCCAATTATTCTTGAAAAAATTGCATCAGTCACCGTTTGTTGCAAGGTGAACAACGCCTCTGAATTTTTCTATTTAGTTTTCTTCAACTCTCTTTCTTGAGTTGCATTAAGAGTGAAGTATCTGCGGGACAGTGAAACCTTCTTCTACTATGTCCCATAAATCTTGAGATGAAAAAAATATTTTCATTTTAACACGCCTGAAATCATAACTTTCATCATTGAAAATAGGGACAGAAATAGATAATGATTGAGTGGTGTTATCCATAGTTTAGAATTTTTTTTTTAGAGTAGTTTAATAGTACAAAGGAAAATTTTGTAGTAGTTTGGAGGATTTTAAAATGTTAGGTAGGCAATATAACTACGCTCAATATATGACCGAATGTGGCTCTGATGCCACTATTAGTATTTGAGTAGTTGATAGTTGATATAGATAGTTGTAGAAAATTGTTTAGAAAAAAAGGTTATGTCATTTATTTCTTAGATGATTAATTACAAGTTACCAATTGCCTATTTATAGGCTCAAGTCACCAACCTCTTTATGATGGTGAATATTTCTACATTACAATAGTTTTTTTCTAGAGTTATCATGGTAAATGAGTATCATGATAGTTCTAGGTTCTTCTATCATTTTCATATACTCATAGTTCTAGATTATTTTACCATATTCATAAACATTATAGTTTTAAGTTCATCTACTATTTTCATACAATATTATATTTAAGAATATTCTAAAAATTTGTAGCAATTTCAACAATAATCAATGCATTAATATATTATTCATTCCAAAGAGGCCTCGTAGACAAAAATGACATAATAGAAACTTTCCAGTGATTATGTTTGTGTGATGGTACCTTTGTGATTATAAGTGTAATATTTTGCAAAGTAGACAAACGATGTAAATCCCATCAAACTTAATCCAGCAAGAAGGCAATAAAAGTAATCAAAATGTGCCTTATTGATATTGTCACAAAACCAACTTTCATGACCATCTTTGCCACTCAAATTTTCAATTAGTGAAATGAGAAAGCCACTTAGAAAGCTTCCAACACCAACAATACTCAAATAAAGTGCAAGTCCCATGCTTCTTAGTTCATTTGGGACTTGATCATAGAAAAATTCTTGAAGACCAACCATAGTAAAAACCTCTGAAACTCCAAACAAAAAGTATTGAGGAATCAACCACCATATACTCATTGGAACTGTTGCATTTGGATCTTCAACAAGACCATACTCTTGTGCTATTTTTAGTCAGTTTAATCTCAACAAATGCCGCAAATACCACTATGAATATGGATATAAAAATTCCAGTTCCGATTCTTTGAAGCATTGTGATCCCTGAGGGTTTTCCGGTGATAGCTCGTGCTATTGGCACAAATATACGGTCGTAGATAGGGCTGAAGAGAATAATGGCGATACCATTAATCGATTGAAGTGAAGCAGGTGGAATAGCGAAACCGGGAAATATTGTTCTCTCCATAGATTTTCCTTGCTTGGTGAAGAATGTAAAAACTTGAGCAAAGACAATACCATAAACCAAACATGTAGTCCAAATTGGAACCAACCTCAGTACTGCCTTCGCTTCTTCCACCTCAACAAGGCTACAAGTATTACCTTCTTTGGATCCCTTGGGTGGTAGCAATGCCTTGTTGAGGAAGCTACCAATGAAGAAAATACATGATAAGTCAAAATAGTCCTGATCTTGTAGGGGTTTTGTTATAATTGAAAAACAAGCATAGATTATAATTTTTATTCTTACCTGAATTGTTCAGAACTTCGACGCAGAAGCATTCCACCACATTCCTCTTCAATAGATGTGTTGGATAAGGTATTTCGCCAATTTCTTATTGCCATGACGAATACACGGCCGATTCTAAGAAAAGGACTCTTGTCATTATTCTTAATGTTAAACCTATAGGTCATTGATCCAAGCAAGAAAACAAGCAAACCAATGGTCATTACAACACAAGGGATTCCAAATCCAAGAACCCAACTATAGTTATCTTGTATATAGGTCAAGATCGAGAGTATTAACGTGCAACCTGCAATCACCGTAAAATACCACCAATTAAAGAATGAGCTTCTGGCTCTGTGCTCCTTAGGATGTTGTTCGTCGAATTGATCTGCGCCGAAAGCTTGAACACAAGGTTTATGTCCACCTTGTCCAATGGCAACTAGATAGAGTGAGATGAAGAATAAGATAACTTGTGAATGTTGGGAGCATAATATGAATTTAGTATCAACTTGGCATTTAGATTTGGTGAGGGATGGAAGCATAGCTGATAATGCTAACAAACCCAGTCCCTGTAATTCATATTAAGCCAATGACCAACATCAAAAAAAACTGAGGCAATAGAGATATCATCGGTAGTATATTTAATGAAAAGTTTTTAAGAGGATATGAAAACAATTGCAGGAAATAGATGTTTGAAACTCTGCATAAATTGATTGATGATGTATGAATATTTTACTTTAAAATGCCTCATGGAGGCAAGAGGTGTATATGGTTTGAATTTATGCATTTTGCTACGAACAATGTCCTCTAAGATGGTTTTTTAGGTCCACTTGATAGAAATAAAGCCAAAAATGTTTTATGCCTTTTTAAAAAGTTAGAGGTAATTTTGTTTTGTTTGAAATTGATCTCTTTATGTAAGAATATTCTAATTTAATAGGTCTAACTAATAGATTAAAAGTCTGAATATAAATTACTATTAATAGTAGTAAATATAAATTACTACTAATAGTAGTAAATATAACTTATTTACAACACTCTCTATCAAGCTGGTGAATTAACATCTATCAAGTTGGTGGATTAATATCTATCATTTTCAGTTTGAAAATAATTTTTTCAAAGTTGTTGTTGTTCGGCCTCTTAGTTAGAAAATCTGCAACGTTGTTCTTGAAAAGAACCATATAGAGTGCAAATAAGACCATTATTTAACTTTTTTTTTGATGAAGTGTTTATCAACTTCAATATGTTTAGTTCCATCATGCTGCATTAGATTATGGGCTGTGCTACTAACAGATTTATTATCACAATAAAGTCTCATTGGTTCATCACTCTTTATCTTCAAGTCTTAACAGATTTATTATCACAATAAAGTCTCATTGGTTCATCACTCTTTATCTTCAAGTCTTACAATATCATTTTCAGTCAAAGTAGTTCGCATATCCCTTGTGTCATTTCTCTAAACTCTATTTTAGCACTAGATCTAGATACAATACTTTGTTTTTTACTCTTTCAAGTCACAAGATTCCCACCCAGAAAAGTACAACATCCTATAGTTGATCTTCTATTCACAGCTGACCCTACATAGTCATCATCACGATATGTTTCAAGACTTACACTTCCATTTCGTTCAAACAAAATTCCTCTACCTGAAGTTCCTTTTAAATATTGCACAATTCAGAGCGCAGCTTGTAAATAAATCTCATTTGGTTGGTGCAAGAATTGGCTGACTAAGCTTACAATAAAAGCAACATTTGGTCTAGTATGTGATAGGTATATAAGTTTTCCAACTAATATTTGATACATTCCCTTATCAACCGAAGTATTTTCTTATGTATTCCCCAACTTCACACTTGTATCAATTGGTGTACTTGCAGACTTGCATGTTGACTTATTCATCTCTAGAAGATCAGTAATGTATTTTTTGTTGAGATATGAAGATTCCTTTCTTATATTGGACAACTTCAATTCCCATAAATTACTTCAATTTTTCCAAGTTCTTAATCTCAAACTTTTTGGCTAAGTGTTTGCCTAACAGTTGTTACTCCTTCTCATCATCACTTATTACTATAATGTCATCCACATTCACTAAAAAAATTGTTACACCCCTGTCTCAGAATGTTTAATAAATAGAGTATGATCTCCTTGACTTTATTTAAAGCCCAAACCTATCATAACTTTGGTGAATCTTCCAAACCATACTTGTGGTGATTGTTTTAGCCCTTATAAAGCCTTTTTTAATTTGCACACAATGTTGGTGGTAGTAAGTTCCCAGTATCCAGGGGGTACACCCATATAGATCTCTCCATCAAGTTCTCCATGAAAGAAGACATTTTTCACATCAAATTGATGTAAATTCCAATTTTGATTAGCAGCTAAAGATGATATTACCCTTACGGTATTTAATTTTAGCAACTGGAGCAAAGCAAATGTCTCTGAATAATCTATTTTCAAACACTTATCTTTTACAATTAGAGTCCCTTGTAGATCAACGATTTTAGCCACTAAGTTAGAGGGAGTACCATGAGTCTCTACTTCCTTTTGAAGATTCGAAAGGTTTCTAACTTCAGCCTTCCAGAAACCAACCTCTTCCCTAGATTAAGTCCACTTTGTTTGAAGTTTTAGTACCTTCTCTAGAACGGAAATCCACTCATAAGTATATGCTTCACACTTACTCTTCCACTATCCTTTTCATTGAGAAGGTCATTGGGCACAAGCACGTCACCTCGTCCAGCGGCAACCAGGGTCAGGAAAGAAGCCACGTGAAACAAATGGTACGTCATCCCGTCCATCAACTCCATCTTCCCAGTATCAAAAAGATTATGGATGTGAGCGGCATCCTGCACCGAGAATGACTTATGCACTTCCCGGTACGTCCGAGGGACCATAAAAGAGAGGACGGTTGGAAGCTTGGCAATTGTAAAACCATGAGCCTCGAGAGGAAGCCCAGTAAACCAAGAATCAAAAGTCTTCGTCCTTTTTCTAGCACCATCGACGAGGGGATCTTTGTCTTGCCCCTTTTTACATGAGCCATCAATTGAGGAAAGGAGACCCTCGTGAGAGTTCTTACTTCTTCTTTCACCTTTGTTGGTTGAACTTGAGGGAGGAAGGGCAGAGTGCGAGACTGTGATGTCAGATGATTGTTGACCGGTGCCTGAACCGGTTGTTTGGAAGTCGAATCAGAAGGATCACACGAAATAAGAACCTTGACAACGTTCATAGCTTTCATAGCCTTCCTACTCTCATAAAGGTTCCTGAGATACTCACCAATGCTATAATACCTTTGCAAAGTCTCAAGCAAACGGGTAAAGTTGGGAAGGAGACATGGCTAAGTGGTTTAGCAAACCCTCCTATAGAGAATATGTTCTGAGAACCTCTTTACTGCCCCACACGAGAACGAAAGCGTAAAATCGACCGACCCGACTTGAAGACTTCATATGCCTCTCGGCATAGTAAGCCTGGGGGCAACTATTTCAGGTTAGATCAAGGCCCAAAAGAGTATTGGAAATGCCCAACCTTATCCACCGTATAAATACTTCCCTCTTCGCGTCAAAGCAGAGATGACTTTCATTTTTCCAAAATTTTCATTTTATCTTGAGATATCCACGAACTAACTTAAATGTTAAATTATTAACATTGTAAATCTTCTTCCGCTTACGCACTAAGAGTATAAATATCAATGCCATGTCATCGTTCCTTCACGAAAACCAAAGTCTTTTTGTGAGAAATTGATGGATGTTTGAAAATTTCAACTGTCCTTTAATTTGGCAACGTTGTTCTGCAAGAGAACGATTCTCATTACTTCTTAACCATTAAAGTTGAATTAAAAATTATATATAATTAAATGTAAGGTATTTGGTGGGACCCATTTTAGAGTTTTTGATGGGTTGTATGGATATTTAAAAAACATAACTGTGTTGTTTAGAAAATATTAAAGTGAAATATAATATAAAAAATTATGTGGACCCCATCTAAAGAATTAAAGTGGGGATAATGAGTGTGGATGCTCTAAGTTGCCAATATCCTCATCAACATCCATACATGTCTCTTTAATTCTCGTTTTACGACAGAATAAATACCAATAATAATCTCCATAATATGAATTATATTCAACGAACCCAAAAAAAAAAAATACTTTTTATATTCGAGAATTATATATGTCCAATTTTTAATGATAGTGGATACATTATGTACGATCTTAAAATAAAACAATCTCTCACATAAATTCTATATTACATACATAAATTCTATATTGAGAAAATTAAATTAAATTAAATTTTTTTATCCAATTTTCTATTCTAAAAAAAACACTCAAATAATATTAACTATTAACTAATTTAATAATAAATAAAAACCGTTGATTTTTTTTTTCTTGACTTTGCACATTTTAATATTCAAATCTCGTTAACTGTTAACAATTTTTGTATTTAATCAAATTTATTTAAATTTTTGTTCTGCTTTAAACGAAGACTCCACAAATAAATAGTGGAATTTATTTTCTCATATTAGTTAATCGGTCATCCGACCGGATAACAAAATTTAAAGAAAATAAAATATTTGAAGAGTAGTGCATAACTTATTGAGCAAATTAATTATAGTTATATTAGAGAATAAAAACCAAAAAGTGAAGAATTGATCTAACCAATATATAGATGAGAGAAGCGATTATGATAGTGCGGTAGCGTCCGAGGAAAGAATCAGCGACGAAAGCACCTAAGAGAGGAAGAAGAGAAGCTGTTCCAGACCAAACATTTACATTCTTAGCAGCTGTTGCAGTTGTCTGTTTGAGTGGTCCTGTTAGGTATGATATCAAGTTTCCTTGAATTCCATAAAATGAAATTCTTTCTGCAACTTCCACACCTATAAACATTACATTGACAAACTCAATAAACTAATAAACAATGAAACAAAACACTAACTCGTCCTTAAAATATAATTATAAATATCAGTGGACACCGAAGTTAACATACTTCTTTTAAAAATGTTTAGGAAAAAATAATAATTAAATATAATCACAGATATTAGTGTCTTTCGGAAACACTTTTTTTAAGAGAAGCGGGAAAAAACAAAGATGAATATCTATGTTATAGTATGAAAATACCTATGATGAACCAAGCGGACCTCCAATAACCAGATTTGGATCTAACGGCTGGTTCTCCATTGTAGTTAACAGCACCATCTACAAGATCAGCTTCTAACAAAACGCTGTTGGGATTCTCCATTAATGTTGATTTTCTTCTACTTCTTCATTAAAGATTAGTGTCGTTTTGATAAGGTTAAATCTGAACCACAAACATCTCTTGATTGCTGTCTCTATCTTTCTTAGGTTATGTGATTGTTTGATAGTGTTGTATTGTACTCTTTCTTTTATTGGAAAAAGATTTGGTATTTGTTTTTTCCTTAGAGAACAAAGAGTGTCCAACAAATATTTTTATGTTAGGTACACAACGCAACGTACAAGAGCATTAAAACTATTTGAAGTCAATGTACAAGAACATCACTCCAATTTAATTTATATAACAAATTTCAGGAATGTTATTTTGTGTTAAGAAAGTGTGGTTAAGCTTAACTTAAATCTATTAAATTGATGGGTAAGGTGAAGATTGTTTCCATTTATAAATGTTTATATTATACATTGTCTGGTATGGGACTCTTAACACATTCTTTTATGCTCAGAATTAGACAACTGGAGCGCGGAAATAAATAGTGAATTTTCCGATAGCGAAAACCATAGTAGGTGGCTCACCGGATCTTAAACGAGATTCTTGATATTATGTTAAGAAATGTGGTTGGGTCTAACTCAACCCTACAAAATCGGTTGGTAAAGTGAGGATTATGAGTCCACAATGTTCCCCTTAAGTGGAAACTTTTTTGTCCACGTACACTTGTACCGCCGTTGACACATCTTTCCTGAGCATTTCGATACGCCTCTTCCTGCGAATTTCAATTTGAACGGGACACCTCTTTCTAGATATTTCGATACAAGTAAGTCGGTCCTTTTCTCGAACCAAACTCTGATACCATGTTAAGAAAATGTGGTTAGGCTTAACTCAACCCGACAAAACTGGATGGAAATGTGAGAATTTTCCTCACTTATAAAGACATGTCCAAGCCATATATTGTCCGATGACTCTTAACAATGTTGAGAATAATAAAGTCAAATGTGAGTTGGAGTTCCACATTGGTTATAAATGTTGAAAGTTAAACATTTATAAGTGGGAGAACCCACACACATATCACCTTAAGATTTTGGATGAATATGTGGTGTCTCTTTCACTTGTGTTGCTCTTGACCCAATGTTAATGCTCCTCCTCATGACCTAACATTTTGCACCCTTTTTTGACATCAAATATTTATATATTGTTCATTGTATTTATACGGTAAACAATCTTTTTTTTAAAATAAAAAAATATATTTAAGAATTGTGTGTGGACAATACGTGAATAGTATCCGTAAACAGTGACTTTAAAATTGTAAAATACAATTGGTTAATAAAATTTAAAAAGTTAATTAATGAAGTGATGAAGTTGGTTATTAAACGCTCAAATATTAAAAATAATTTTTAATAGTAAACCAAAGTTGTTTAATGAAAAGTATGAAGATATGAAATTGATTAATAAGCGTTTAGTTATTGATCTCACCTGATCAGAAAGGGATCAGTAGTCTGCCACGCGTCGTGAGTTGCTGCCTTCACCGATGTCGTAGAGGAGGAGGGAGTGTACATGTAAGGTGCTCTGATACTTAAGTGAGTAACGGAGAGAGAGAGAGAGAGAGAGAGAGAGAGAGAGAGAGAGAGAGAGAGAGAGAGAGAGAGAGAGAGAGCAAGTACAGAGAAAAGGTGTAGTGAATAAGATACCTGACCCTCTAGTGAAAGAGGATATTTATAATGTGCCCCAAGCATAGAGCCAACGGTTAAGTTGCATTGGGATGGGTTGTCAAGCCCAACACAAGTAACTGTCAGGGCTTACGTGACGTAGTGAAGACCAGTACGGGTCTTCGCCCTGGAACAACTGTCTCGTGATCTTCGGAAGGTGGGGTGACCTTCTCTTTCAGCAATTTGGATACCAAACTATTGATTAGTTTGAATCTTTATTCATTTGCAACCGAACTTTGATTTGTCCAAAGGAAGGGATAAAGATCGAAATTCCCACAATGCAATGCAAATGCAAGGTTTAGAGAGTTATAGGTTCGGGGGTTGGTTAAACTCAGGGAAGGTACTAGCATCCTAAGTTTCTGTAGTACTCTACAGGAACCTCTTGTTTTATGTTTGTTTATTGCTAATGTTTATTTGCCTAATGGTTGAAAGACCTATGAGTTTATTTCTAAGTATACTCGATAAGATGTCGCATCTTATGCCTACATATCCTTACGGGAGTGGAATCAGAGTATCTGTAGTTCCCCTAAAGGGTTTGAGGAGATCTTTGACTGTGGTCAAAGTTCCTACGGGTTTAGGGTAGTTGATTGATTGATTTTAGGAGAAGAGATGTGTCTTCATTTTAAGGGAGATGTAACCGCCACAGGTTGTAGGAAAATAGTCTTTGCATCGTCTTAAGAAAAGGACTTACGTACTCAGATAGGGATCAACGAGGTACACCTTTATCTCTCTTAAGGCAAAGTCCCTACGGCTTGATTGTATTGTTGTGGGGTGGAGATTCTATCTCACTTAAGATGATTAACATCTTGCTCTATGTGTTTGAATATTGTTTGATTTGAGTTGTTTGTATTGTGTTTAATTGTTGATTATCTAAGTTGTAAGAGAAAGGTCCTTCCTATGGGGTAGGATCTGTCCTAAAGATCAACTTGAATGGGATCAAAGATCATGTGGGGAGAATGATGCAAATGTGAATGCACTACACACAAGTGTTGACTCATGTGTAGGGTTTTCCTTTGGACGGAATGCAATTGTAGGAAAAGATAAATACGATGATTGTAAATTGCGGAAAGAAATAAAACAGATAAAATAAACATACATACGCATGAAAGCGCTAAGGTGTGTGAAAGTGTGAATTGTGAATAATGTGAATGTGCGGAGGCACGCGCGATTGGATTACGATGTGAGTTGATTTTAGTTGAATGAGTTTATTAGTTTTACACTTTGGTGAAATTGATTTAAAGAAAATGTTTGATTGGTTGATTTTAAGAAAGAAAGAAATATTATATTCGTTTTAAAAAGAAATTAGATTTTTTTAAAGATTTAATTACTATAAAATTGAGGAGAAAATGTTTTATTAAATTGGATGGAAAGGTTATTATTACTAATTATTTTATTTTTAAGCATGAAGAAAAAAGCAAAAATGGATAGATATTATTATTTATAAAAAAAGGGTTAAGTTTATAATAAAAGAAAAGGGTGAGTAAAAGGGTCTAAAAAAAATGAACTTAGCTTAATTTTATAAAGAAGTTGATTGGGATGCAATCTGATTTTTTTTATTAAAGCAAAATGATGGTTATAATAATAAAAAAAAAACCTTAATTGGTTAGATTAATTACGAAATGGGTTAATTAATAATTAAACAGTGGTTAAAGGATTACTAACGGAGGGTTAAGGGATAATGAGGGGATTAGGGGACAAATGTATCTGGTGAGTCGTAGGTGCAGAGTATGTGTGTGTCTGTGGGTGTATAGGATTATAATACATAACAACAAAATTACAAAGAAAACCCAGAAGAACCCTAGGTCTCCCTCTCTATTCGTCATCTCGTTCATCTCCTACCCAACCCTCTCTCGATTGCTATTTCTCCATCGGTGGTTCCGTTTTTTCTCCTACTTCGTTTCTTTGCCCCTCTTTCATCTTTTCGGTTTCGCAACCTCATCGTCTATATCTTCCTTGTTGTCGAATTTCATTGTTAACCTGCACATCGACAAAGATCAAACATGCGAGAGTAATCTGAGAAAATAAGTTATTTACCCAATAATGTGAGACGGCGGCGGCTTGAAGGCGATGGTGGTGAGGCGATGATGACCCTCGTGTCTGAGCTTCACGGCGGCGGGAAACTTTGCGATCAAAATCTGAGCGTGTATGCTTCTTCTCCTTCAGTGGTTCCGTTTTTTCTCCTCTTCGTTTCTTTGCCAAGTGCTGCCTCTTTTATAAGTGAAATCCATGAGCCTCCAATGATGATTGTCTTTAAAACTTTCCTGTTTAGGCGATTGCTGTCTGATCTTAATGATTTGGACGATTTTTGGGAGACAAATGCTGAATCCCTTCCTTTTTCGTCTTGGTTTGTTTGATTTGCTTGGTGGGCTGTTCAATTCTTTCCTTTCTTGTTGGATTTTGTTGGATGAGTGTTATTTTCTGACTTGGGAAGTTCACAATATTTCTCTTCCACGTTGCTTTGTTAAAATTTGGAAACTGGGTGACATGTCTATTGACTTGGTTGTTTGACTAAGATTTTCTCTTCTTCTTCGCAGGACAGAACTTATGCTTACTTGATGCTTGCCGGGAAGGGTGTTGCGGTCGGCGATGATGACGTCTCGTCTGAGCTGGGAGAGAATATGGTTGCCTTTGTTTGCTTATTTATGTTGCTTGAGTTAACTATGAGCTGCTCGAACTGTGTTGCTAGTTTTACTCATGCCTGGTGATGGATTGAACTGAGGGCTGAACCAATGGTGTCGTGACTTGACGCTATTGATACCGTTGTGGCTAATGCTGTCATTGCTCTCTGTTGCTATCATTGCTCTTGTCATGCCGCTGTTGAACTGATATGGTTGTCAATAGAATTGATACGGTTGTTGTTTCCTTCATATGAGAGAATGTTGATGTTGTGTTGCTACTTGCTGATATTATGTTTTCCTGCTGTTGTTGGGGAAGGTTTGAAACGGTGATGATAACACCATGTCTGAACCATGAGCCAGGATTGTCGTTGCTTTTGAAATCTTTCAAACTCCTGTTGGGAACTGTACTGAAAATGGTTGCCTCGTTTGTCTATGTTTGATTCCTTCGGTGTTCGGTAAGGAGTTGACGATGACCTTGGTCATTGTCCTCCTAGCCGCCTGACTTTTAGCCCGATGATGGATTTGGGCTGAGGGTTACAATTGTCTCGATTCTCATTCTTGGACCCTGCATTGATGTTGCTTGGTGCTGGCACTGATACTGTTTATGTTATATTGTTAATGCTTGTTTGTTGATGCCTTTGAGAGTACTTGCAGTTGCTGTTATTGATGCCGCGACCTATCATTTGTTGGGCTGTTGCTATACTTTGCTCGCTATTGCTGATTACGCTTG